ATTTATAATGCCAATGTGAAGGAGCTCCAAGACACAGCAGGATCCGAATACTTCAAGTTTCTTAGTCGAAAAGCTCATGAAGGTGCTTCCAACCAAGCCAAAGTCGATGTCGCAAATGCTTGTATGATGGGCGAAATCGGAGTATGTATATTTCCCGAGCAAAAAGCTCCCTATTCGGACTACTCTCCGAGTTGCCGGGCATCTTGCGTGAACAGAAGGATTTTAATCAGCCTTCGAGATATCTCATTGCTCGGATTCTTACCTTAAAGACGGAATACTAACTCCATTAACGTTTGCAGGAAGCAGAGAAGCGTGGCAAGACCAAGCAAGAAATCAGCCGAATCAACGCAGAAACCGCAGTCTTGGAAACCAAGCGAAAGTCCGAGAAGGCCACCGCAGATGCCGAGTTCACAACTACCCAGACCAAGCTCAATATGGGTATCAATCTAGAAAATATCCAGGCAACTCGTCGTGCCGAAGCTAAGGATGCTGAATTGCAACGTGACGTCGAGGTCAAACGAGCGGAAATGGAACTGGAGAGGATGAGAGCGTACGGATTTCCCGAGCCAATGTTCCCTTCTTCATCCTATATTTCAGCTATAGAGACGTGTTCCCGCGCAAGAAGTACAATCCACGGACCAGCATTGTCTCATGTCTCGGATTCTTGGCCCAAGAAGTATATGCTGACTCGGAAGTGTCTATTAGGACTGAGGTCGTCCAAGCCACAATCAAGAGGGAATCCGCAGAACAAGCAGCCGAGGCGAAGCTATTCTCCGAAACTAAAAGTGCCAATGGATTGCTCTACAAAGAAAAGCAAGCAGCAGAAGCACGACTATTTATGGACACGAAATCGGCGGAAGGACTCCTGTATAAGCACCGCCAAGACGCAGAGGCCAACTGTGAGCGAGGCGTCTGTTCCGAAAGTCTAGGTGGCGGAAGCTGAACCCTTTTTCTAGATTACCGCGTGGCGAAAGAGGCTGAGGCCATATTATATGCTGAAAGACAAGCCGCCCAAGCCGCGACAGTCAAGGCTGAAGCATCATACTTCGCCAAAAAGAAAGAGGCAGAGGCGATGACTGAGATGGCGAAAGCATACGGTCACATGTCAGAGGTGCTCGGCGGACCCCAAGGCTTACTTCAGTATATGATGTTGCAAAACGGTACCTACGAAAAGCTGGCCAACGCAAATGCAGCAGCAATCAACGGGCTCCAACCGAAGATCACTGTTTGGAACACGGGGGACAGCGCTGGCTCTTCGAGCGATGGTACGGGAGCCATTCGGAATATTATGCAGAGCCTCCCTCCGCTTTTCTCCACAATCAACGAGCAGACAGGAATTTCGCCCCCTACGTGGTTGGCGCAAATGGGCCCCAGCCAGGCGCTCGACAAGGGGAAGCCAAAGGGGAAGTATGTCAACGGTGAGGTCAATGGCCATTGAAGGTGCACAGCTAGAAGGTCTTTTCATCAGTGTTGAATCGTCTTCTGCGATTTTCAAGCCGTTCGGTGATGGGAAAGCCAATAAAGCGGGAGTCTAATTGGTCTCTTGATGTATGAGTTGGTGTTGGTTGAAACGTAGTGAACCTTGAAGCCAATTACAGAAAGGAAACGTTGTCGTGCTCATCGAGATCGGAAGCCTTCAGCGGCTCAATGGCATTGGGAGCACTCATAAAGTTCAATTTAATGAACCCACGGGGCGGTCAGCATTATCTGGGCCATACAAAGCCGCGTGGTTCATGCAATACGAAAAGTTCGAGATGCTTTCAATCTCCGGCGTTGGACCGGACGTCGCGCCATACAGCGATAATCCACAAGGCTGCTATGAATAGCAATCGAATTATCTAGTAGCAGATTTATGGCTCAATTGCGGAAGCCTAGACCCTGTATCGACGGGCGCGTACCGAGAGGACTTTCACGGCTCACTTGGCTCCCAGTGAAGACAGTGAGGGTATGCAAGGCAGTCCGAATGAAGAAATGGAACATGCAGCCAATTGCGTCTTCACTGAATCAAGCAGCTCGCAATTTGGTGCGTCAGGCGGAAGGAGAATGTCGGCCTCACGCCTTCCAAATATCCAATTGAAGTGCTGAAGTGGATCATCCAATTTCCACTGCTCAAACTAGGTACTCAAGCAATCTTTCTTCTTCTCTTTTGCTCTCGCTGTTATTACCCGCTTGAAATTCACAGGAGCTTGTTTTGCGCTTCCTCACGCTTGCGCAGGATAGGATAGGATAGGTTCTGAGGCTACTGCAAGGTACCGATGCAAGATTGGCCCTTCCATGGCGCGATTGGTTGATAGATGATAAGGGCAAATGCAATGAAGAATGAAGTAAGGTAAGGTATGATTCAGTGAAAGCCCTTAGATTAGCTCGGAAATTAGAGCTTAAGTCGAATGACTCCAACGCTGCCGAACACGAGGCTACCTTTAACAAAGGGGACTCGCGTCGTCGCCAGGCCCATAAGGACTTGCTACTCTCCACCAGCACCTCTCTCTCTTCTCTTTCTTCTCTTCTTTTCCTGCATCCATCCTTTCAATACACAAACAACTCCCGGTCTTCACCGATTACACTCTTTAGCTACTTCTCATATCTTACGCTCTTTAATAACAGCATCATCTGCACTCCCATCGAAATACTACACAATTCAAATTCGCTCAACATCAACCATCAAAATGCGTTACTCCATCATTGCTGCTCCCATCGCCCTTGCGGCCAGTGTGTCTGCTGGAGACTATGCCACCTCCTACGAGGTTGTCAGCACTCTGACCACATACTGTTCATCAGCCACCTCTCTGTCTATCAATGGCAAGATCCATACTGTCACAGAGGTAAGCCAGGCACTCTTCGTATTTTCGCGGTAATCGGTCGATCTGTGGACATTGGCTAACAGACTCTCCCCTCCCCTTCGCAGGCCACAACTTTGACAATCACTGACTGCCCTTGCACCTTGACGCGCTCAGCCGTTGCAACCAGCGCAAGCCCAGTCGCCGTCTCCTCGACCCCGCTTGCCCCTCTTGTGACCCCAGTCGTTTCCTCGGCCCCAGTCGTCGTGGCGCCTTCGTCCACCCCAAGCCCGGTCGAGGCAGCCACTTCCACCCCGGTCGCCCCCGTCGTCGTGACGAGCTCTTCGACCCCAGCCGTCATCCTCAGCACCGCCCCAGCTGCTCCCGTGGTCCCACTCAGCAGCGCGGTACCCGTTGCACCGTACCCGGTGTCCAACAGCACCACCCTAGTCCCTGTTGGTACTGCTGCGGCCGGCACCGCCTCTCTGTCTGCTCCCTCGGCCTCGCTGGGTTCCACTCCGGCCACCACTCCAGTGGCCAAGACGCCCTTCAAGGGTGCCGCCAACAAAGTGGCCGCTTCCAGCGTCAGCCTTGTCGCTCTGTTCGGTCTCGCTGCCTACCTCCTGTAGATGGAGGGTGGAGCAACGAGTTTCCTAGCTTGGTGGCTTCCTGTTTAGACGGCCTTGCTTGCTTGCGCTACTCCTCCAATGGGATAGATGGGGGATATGCGCGCGCGGTGATACCCATCATTTATGGTTCGATAATTCAATATGGCGCATCTAGTCGCGATATTCATTACACTATAATGGCAGTAATTTCTAATGCTCTTATTCACAGGGATGCGAATATGACGGGGTTGTTGGGAGGATGTGTGTTGACAGAGAACCAGGAAATGAGTGGTGATGTGGAGCGTTTTGATGCGTATGTAGCGACACTTGAACATCATCACATAGCCAATCAATGCAGGCCCATTACCATTCACCACCGCTTTCAATGACTCCAGTAGCAGTGAGGTCCGCTCTAAAAAGTCGCAAATTTCGGGGGCATGAGCTCCACCCCCGAAAAATGAGATTGCCCCGACAATAATGCACTGAATGAAAATTTTGCCTGTCGAATGCGTGTACCTGCATTAGCGTCATCTTAACTTTGTCGGTCGTCCGTTGTGGCGCTTTTCCATTCGGCGGCTACCGAAGTCGAAAGGGGCAAGAACAACCAAGGTACCGGTACCTTGGAAAAGGACACGGACTCGCACGGCGCGCGGGAGACTGCTGATTTGATTCGACATCGCTGTGGATTTGGCGAGTGGAAGGATATTTGTCAGAGGATGGATCAATACTTTAGGTAGTAGGGCTGTTGATGGAGACAGATGTACCACTGAGCGCATCCACTGCTCTGAATCGTGGTTATGGTTTGAGATAGGTATGCAAGGGTACGAGCACTCTAGTTATCTCTCAAGACAAAGAGTAAGACATAAAAGCGGGTCGTTTTGGGAAGCATGCGGGAGAATGAAGCGCGTGGGTGCGGCTGAACCGCACTGAGAACGATCGAGTGAATCGAGCGCTCGTCCCTGTTGAATTGAGCAGAAGCGTGGGGAAGGAGACACTGCAGTTGCGAGTGGAAGCGTTGTACAGAGGTCTGCACCGAAAGTCCTGCACCCGCCAAGACTCTTGCGCTCAGACTTCGGATAACGCCCCACCTAAAGGGCTACCTGGACAATGCGTCTGGAGTTCTTCGGAATCGCACCTAGCCCTAGCCAGGTTTCGGGGCTTAATGCCTCTATCAAGCCAAAAGAAGTACCTAAAGTCCCATCCATGCGCTGTGAGAAGATATTTCTAGGCTTCCCCTCTACAGGGCCGCTTTCCGAAAGTAGGGTTAGGGCTGCACTAGTGCGGGTGCAGGACTTTCGGTGCAGACCTCTGTAGGTAGCTCAGATATGCTCCTAGCAATGGGAGCCGTCCATCAGTCTCCCAAAATCGCCACGCATCTTATAAGCAATACAGCTATACTATTCCTCGTGTTAAGAACAAACGTCCCGGATGCTAAGCAGCTGGCAAGTCCTGACCGGGTTCCTGAATCGAAGGTCTTCTCGATGTGGGCATGGACTGGGCCTCCGACCATAGTGTCGTGGTAGCCTTCTTCAGATGTCGAAGATTCCAGATCCTTTCAGTGGCGTTCTCGTCGTCGGTGGACCCAGCCCTTGCAGCGTCCTTGGTGACGCCACCTTCAACTTGCGCAATTGGTTCTCTATCATATGTGAGCCTGGAGAGCGGGTTCAACGGCGGGGGGTATCGAACCTCCATTCTTGCCCTCATGTCCATGATTTTCTCACACAAAAATTCGCGCAATGCATCATACTCATCCTCCCGGGCTTCGTAGGTTGTCAAGCATTTGAATTGCTCAATACCCGCGATTGCGGAGATTTTGCGAGCCAGCTTTGGACAGATGTAAAAGTCCAGCATTGCAGATGGGTGACACCATTTGTCCTCCTCGCTAAGAGATCTGGCATGAAATGATACACTGACGGTCTGGAGGTTGTGCGAGGCAGCCAACAGCTCGACTGCATCACCAATGAAACTGGCACCAGCATTTACGCGCAGATTCCCGTAAATACCAACTTCCTCGGGGTACCGGACAAACGTTGCCTCCCAGAAGTCAAGGTGGATGTGCTGAAGCTTTTCTCGGTTGCTCTTTCCAATGGAAACAAGGAAGAAGTACATCGTCAGATAGTCGCAGTAAGGGACAGACGTGTTGAATGCGGGCATCGTATGCTCATCACTGTTGTGGGGATGATCATCAAATCGAAAGACATTGTTGCCATAGAGCACAGCGGTGGCCTCCCCACGCACCAATTGGCAAGTCCTCAAGAACGGAAGAGAGTCACTGAGGTTCAAGGTTCTATGACCGAGATTATTTCGACGACGAGAGCCCGTAGGGTCTGGCGTCACAGTCTTGTCCTCATGCGCCGTCTCGAAGAGGAGCCGGTAGATCATGTTGCGGACTTCGGGTGGCAGGCGGAAGAATGGAAAGGAGGCCATGATGATGATAGATGGTAAATGATGCTCTGTGGAGACGTTTGAACGTCAATTGCGCGGTAGTGATGATGGTGGTTGTGGTGGTGAGGAGATGACACTGCGTCATTGCGTAAGCATTATTGTTCAAAAGGAAGCACACAAGAAGTCCTACCACGAAACGCCTTGGTTCGGTAAAAACTTGATGCCTCCTGTAGAAGACGGTGTCAAGTCATTCGTTTCGTCATGGGAGCTGACAGATGAGATTAGAATAGTTGTATGAGGTAGCGGTCCGGCAGGAAGGTTGTGAAAGATGGAAGATTGTCGTTGGAACATCTGATCACGCTTCATCGTCACGTTTTTCATTCGCTGCCTCGCTTCAATATCACTGCATTCATCTAATGATTACCACCAAACCACGACGTACCAAACGAATGTATTAAGATGTCATCAGTCAATGCATCAACATCCTGAATGAAGTGAGCAATGTCAAAGAAGCGAAATCTAGGTGTTCCAACCCAACCAGTCCCCAAATCCACCGGAAATCATATCACGTGCCCGGACTAGCGGCTACACAGTGCAGAAAGTAAAGTTGCACACACATCCCGGTGCTGGCTAAGCAGAGATCCATCAAGGTCTGACTGCCCTCCAAGCATCTACCAAAACCTAGCTCCCCGCTTCCACTCCCTCCTCTCCTGCTTTAACCCTCTCATCTCCATCCTCTTTGAGTATCCTGTCGCCATCGCATATCCCGTGCCGGTCCCGGTGCCGGTCCCGGTGCCATATCGAGTCACAATCCCAGTTCCCACCAGCAAACCACTGCTGCCAGGGATAGGATACGGCACGGAAGCTGGAGTCGTCGGCGCAGCTGCGCTAGAAGGGATTACGGTCACTGTGACGGTGACTTGGTTTGTTGTAGTCACGGTAATTGGGACAGGACAGCTGGCTCCCGACTCGATTGGGCTGCCCGGAAGGCCACTTGGGCTGGTCCCGGGAAGACTAAAAGGGAGGGCAGAGGGCGAGCCAAGGCCAGTCGGGAGGCCTATGCCGGTGCCAGCTGGGCCGGCGGGAAGAGTGGCGTTGGAAAGCGGGTATGGGGCACCTAGGGTGGCAGAGGCGATGGGGAGACCGGTGCCGGTGCCAGTGCCAGTTTGCGCAGAGACAGAAGTAGAGAGAGCCAGGATGCCTGCGAGCGCGGTAAAGACAGTGAATGGTGCCATTGCGATGAGTATGAATTCAGTTGAACGAACGATTTGGAGTTGGCGGTGTAAAGTAATTGGCAAAAGTGGGGACGAAGTGTGCGGTATATACAAAGAGGGTGAGATCAGCAGCGTGTAGATTCTGAGAAGGAATGGATATGTAAAGGCAGGTGCAAGAAGCTTCGTGCAGAAATAGAAAAGTGACAGGACAAAGAGGGAATTCCACGTGAGGTTAAGGGAAGGGAATTGGTGGAAAGTGAGAGACAAAGCAGGTAAAAGAGATAGCAGAGTTCCAATTCCCGCCGCGCTGACAGACCCACATAAAACATTGAATCCATCCTGTGTGCTAAACAAAGAAGAGAAGATAGCTAGGTATCGCTGTGAGTGGTAAAGTGGTACCTAGGAAGAGTAAGCACTGGAGGAGCATGTTTCAATAATTCCTCTTGATCCCTGAAAGGGTAAATTGGCCGAGCGATGGATGTACGGTAAGGAGAAGCAGAAAGCCACTCGGAGGCTTGTTGATAGTCCTAGGTAGGTATGTGATATGACTATCGTTGTAGCTACAGGATGCAATTCCCAGTGGAAAATAATAGGTAATTCGAGGATGATTACAAGATGATTAGAAGAAGAAGATTACAGGGAATTTGAGGACCATACCTTCGGTACCTTACCGAGCTTACCACAGTACTGACGCGCGGTGCTGGATCCTTTGGGGCCCAGCCCCTTAATTATCAAGGTAAGGAAGGTACTTAAGCGAACGGTGGCGGGCCAAAATCAAGGGAAGCGACAAAACTGCCATGCCACCAAATGCCAAGGAAGGTGTGCTTTGTTCCCCCCCACCCCATACCGAACACTTGCTGATTGATACATCAAAGACGACTTGCCAACCTCGTTTTTGGCTTGAGCTGCTGCTGCTTCCTTTTGGCACCATGTGAAATATAATGATATGGACGATATGGATGATATGATTGGTGAACACATTATTACCGAATTAATTGGCATATAAGATACTACCATATAGCCGAAGCGTCCATCTGATCATGGTTTGGAACCGTATTTTATATGTAAAGGGGCCTTATAACACTGTGGTATCGTATGGCCTAGGGCGCTAGTTAATGGCCTTACTAAGCTCGCTGTCGCCAATTAGAGAGCTCGAAGAGACGCTCTTGTTAGACGGGAAAAATACCTCTGTACGGGGGATGGTACCTGATTTGGGGGCGTAGTGTATCGCAAATGGCCTGTACCTACTCCGACTACTCATGATTCTACTTGCCTTGCTACTGTGAGGGTTTACTTAATAGATTCTTAATGGACTTGAATGGGTACTTCTGATTTTGCCCTGGGGGCTTAGTACAATTAAGTACCATTACTCAGCAGGCTACCAGGACCCCTATCTTACAGTCTAATTATGGCCTACGTCTGAAAACCGTTATTTTGAACGGTATTTTATATGCAAAGGGGCCTTATAATGATGTGGTTTTTTATATGCCAATTAATTCGGTACTTACATCTAGAATTTGGCTTGCGCCAAATGTCTTGCCCACGCCTTTGGGAATCTCCAAGCGCCAAACCTCATGCATCATGCCCCCCCATGCACATACATGCACCTAGTCCCTCGACTGCAACACTGCATGCGTACTGCCGCTGCAACTCAACCCAATCCCCGCCTAGAACCCTGTAAAGGGATCCTCCAATTTCAGCCTTGCACTTTCCAATGCACTGCTAGCGGCCGACGCATCGAAGCCCCAAAAGCTCGGGTCTTTCTGGCGCCCTTGCCTCGTCCGGTACCTCTTGCCTTTGGGAGTGAGGACGTATTCCTTCTCATTTCTGTCCACGAATGCTTCCATTCGTACCGTTGCCGCAGAATCAAAGAAATTGTCCGGAACCACGGGAGACGGCGCAATGCTGCTGTCAGTGGTACGACGGGTCAGGGTGCTGTGCGTAGTGTTGCGACTCGATTCCACTTGAGGGTGAGGTGTATATCTATCGTACTTCTCTCGTGAAGTAGGGCCTTGTAAACTGGAGCTGGACGTCGCTGCCATCGGAACGCTTGGGTAACTGTGGAAGGCGCTCAGTGGCACTGGACGGGGCCCGGTGCTGCTTCGTTTTCGAGCGTGGGCAGCGATTCGATGCACTTGCGGAGGCTCCGCTGCATCACCTGATTCGGCTTCCTCTTCTTCCCAAGGCAATTTCGCTCCTTCAATGATCTCTTGTTCGATCGAACCTATTGGTGACGAATACGAGTGAGCGCCTATCGACGGACGCCGTTTGATTTTGGCCACACCGATCGAGTCTCGAGTTGGCATCCGACGGAATCCAGTCATCGGCTCTAGCGACGGTAGATGTTGATATTCCTGCTTGGGTAGAGGCGGGGGACTGGCAGGATCGTCCATTCCTTGAGTAGAATGACTCAAGAATGCGAGGGCGGTCAACCAGATGTAGTGCCGCTCCTGTGAGGTTGCCGTAAACTTTAGGGCTCTCTGTGGAGTCAATATCAGTATAGAGCGGTCAAAGATGGCCTGAGAGTCGGCATTCTTGGGCGGTGGTGTATCGTCCTTGATGTCGAGGACCGACTGAATTGCAACTAGACATCGAGATCAGCGCATTCCCATAAATATTTCGAATGACAACATACACTTTCGGCCACCTTTACCCAGTAAAGCAGGTCCAGACGTAGGTTGCTTGCTGCTCCATATCACTGATCGTTCAAAAGGCGCCAGCCATACCCATCGCTTGTGTCTGACGCCACTGCCATTTCTATTGCCGCCATTGCGGCTCATTTCGAATTCCGCTTGGGCGCTCTCTGTGATACCAAAGGAAGTTCTCTTCCGTACATACTTCCACATCCACTCTCCTACCATGGTCTGAGCAATCGCATCAACGACACTGGTCTGCCCACTGGGCGTCTCGGCCAAGGTCTCTCCTGCATGACTTGGGGGAGGTGCGGGATGGCTTGGTAGCTCTACGACACTATCATACGGTAATATGAACTGATTACGCCGCGGAGCAGGTGACTTTGGACTTGGAGGTACAGTGGAAGATGCTGACAGTGACTGCGTTGGTTGAGGCCGCAAAGGTATTGGTGGGTGTGTTACCGCGGCCGCGGACTGGACTTTGCGAAGTATCTTACGTTTGGTGAGAGGCCTGGGATAATTTGGACCCTGGCGAGCACTGAAGAAGGTCGCGGTGTGTGGACTAGGACTCGCAGCTCCATCACTGGCACTGAGAGGAATCTTCCGAGAACTCGACCTCGTAGGCACAGGAAAAGGTGGCGCGACTGTTGGCTCTTTTCCTAAGGCGTTCGATTTGCTAGGGTTCCTGCCCCGTTGTGCGTGTTCTACAATGCCATTCGAGACAAGAGCCTTTCGTCGTATATCTGGCTGTTTACCATTGCTCGACGCTTTTCGATAGCTCTCCGGCGGTCTGGTCTGAAACGTCTTTGATGTGGTTTGTGATGAAGCCTTCGCTATTGAAATCGCTGCTTTGGGTACGCTCACATGCTTCTCGTCTTCGACCTCCTCAGAGGCAGACTCCAACCTCTCCAAGACCGAGTCCTTGAGATGCGGTACCAACTTCCATGAATTTTGCACTTTTGATAGTGTCTTCCGTACGGGAGCTGCATTGAGGAATTCGTCATCGCTGAAGTGGTCTTGCACGTTCTTGGGGTCATCGTCGCTCGAATTATCAAACCCAGCGAATATGCTCTCGGATCTGATTGGCCGTCTGGGACCAGAGCGCTGCTTATGGTTCAAAGGCCCGTTATCATTATCTCCGGGATATGCATGCTTGATCCTAGCGGTCGTTGCACTTGGCTGTGTTCCTTCTGCTCTTATCTGAGGTGGACTCCGAAGGTTGCTTCTTGATGACTCTGAGCCTGATAGGCTTCCCGCCTGTCTCCTTCTTTCAGCCAACCGGAGAGGCGGCTGCATTGAAAGATCAGACGACGGCAACCTGTGAGATAACTTGACAGGTCGATTGTCAATCCTTGTCTCCCCGGTTTGCATCGACGTCGACTTCGTATTCCTCGGTAGCTCAATGGCCACTTGGCAAGCCGCGTTTTTGGTACGAGGCGGAAGCATAACACTGTTGCGGGACGCTGAAGTTCTTGAAGCTGGTGGGTGAATTGCTATCACAGGTACATCCGTTGGCCAAGGGAAAAGGCGGGAATTTGCAGGTTTCGATAATGGCGTGGCATCCTCGATTGTTTGCGTAGATGCCGATTTCATCCCGTTTGCAATCGCAGGAACAGAGATAGAAGTATCCTTCGCTGTCGAAGAAGGGTCTTCAAGCCGCCCAATGGTCTGGCTGCCCGTAGAGACCATAAACAAAGCCTTGAATTCCGCGGCCTTTGGTTCTGCGACCTTCGGAGTTGGTGTTTGCTCGACGAATATTTGAGGAATGGCTATGCGCTTTCGGCTTTGATTGGCCGCCCGCTCTGTTTGCTCAATGGGTTTTTCCGAAACACTCGGTTCTGATGTTTGTAGCGTGGGAGATGAGGGAGGCGAAAACTGCGTCCCAGTATCCGTGTAATGAGTGGCAAACTGCTTTCCAGGGAAGTCGATATAGTCATTGATGATGCCTATGGAGTGCTGCCCCGAGGTTTCGTCTCCCAGTGGCTCTTCATTATTATCTGCGTGAAAGCCCATCACTTTCCTAGCCTTCTTGTCTTCTGAATATCGCCTCGTTGAAGTGTATGTCTCCTCAGGCAGCGCATCCTGATCGTTGTCTTCCTTTCCGGCTGCAACCTGGTCTTCGTCGAATTCGAGCTCTTCGGCCAAACTCAGACCACTCATTTGTGAACCCCCTAGACCATGCAAACCATTCATTCTCAAAGATCTTACGTCCGAAATCCCTTTACTATCATAGGGCTCATCGAGACTCCTATTGCTCAACCGGGACATGGCACGAATACTAGATGTATCGTTGCCTTTACCGAACCCAATATCCGGCACGCCTTCGTCCACGTCATTAGTTGTTCCAGGGTTTTTCTGGCCGGCGTCCTGCACAATCAACATCTCCGCCACCATAGTCTTTAGACGCTCTTCCACCATGTGGACCCTGCCTTCCATTTTCCGCTTCTTGTCATCCCAGTCTTCTCTATCTTGCCCCCAAAGTGCGTGTACATTGCTGGCATCTTCCTCTTGTGTGCGGATTTTCTTTTTCGAGTCTTCCAAGCGTTTCCGACTATCTGCGATAATTTCGACCGCATTATCCCTCTCCTTTGCAATATCCTCTAGTGCTTGGAGCATGTCATTTTCGAGTGATTGCATTTGTTTCTTGACAGACGTGACTTCAACTTTCTGGGTCTTCACGTCCTTGGTCAATTGCTCATTCTCTGCTCTGCTCTTGTGCAAACTTTCTTCCAAGCTCTCCATCATGTTGTTCTTGCTTCCAAGCTCTTTTTTTAGCGAGTGTATTTGGGCGACTAGAGAGATGCCTAGATTGTTCGCGGAGAATCTTCGAGACTCGTGGGCGGAAGTCTTGTCGACATTGCCTCCATCGGTGGTCCTTTGCTGCTTCGGGAAATGCGAATCCTCGCTGGGCGGCAAAGGTACAGGAGAATAGTGGGAGGGTGGGGATGAAGATCCTCGGCGTAAGGACTGTCTTGACATAGAAGGGCTATCATACGGTGTGTCCGTGGGTGTAGGTAGGGCTTGCGCAGCAAAATGGTAGCCATTGTCGAGCGCCATATCTCAGGCACAGCTCAAGGGCGCCTCTGTTAGCCGGAGACGGGGATAAGAAGCCGGCGAAAGGAGCAAGAGGTACAAGCAAGTCCGTCACAGTCGCAACAAAATCCAATGTCTGCCTCGATTTGAGCTGTGTCTGACCTGAGCTTGTAGACAGCCAGTGGAGAACAGAGACGAGGCCGCCAAGATGGCGGGCAAAACCAGGAGAGTCTTTCGTACAACAGACGACGTTCTCGATGGCTGTGAGCGTTCTTCCTGGCCTAGGCGGACTAGCTAGGAATAGTTCAAGTCTTTCGAATCCTGGAGATACGCCGGCTGGAAATTGAGTTGAGCGATTCTATGTGATGAGCGCTCTTCTTGCACGATGACTTGGTATTCCCCTCCGGCTTCCTTCATTACAATTCCTACCGAGATTCACTAAACGAATGTAAGGTGCGCGTAGCGCTCATGGTTCGCAGTTGCAGAACAGATTCTATTGGTACTGTCAGTTCTTTCAGCCCAATATGTATGTGATTTATGTATGTGATTGTCCTGAAGCCCATACAGCTTGTCCAGCGTTTTCCCCACATGTTTCGTGTAGCCAATGGCGCGGCGCTTTCGAAGTAACACAGAACTTGGGAAGAGAACGTACAAGCCAACAGACGCAAGCAAACCCTCGCACTTTGTATTGTCAACGACTAATCCATGCACTCCGAAGGCTCCATCGCTCGGCTGTGAGGTTGACGAAGCTGAGTTTCAGCAGCCTCAATGGTCAGAGCTGTCATTGACAGTGATGGCTGGGCGCAATACGGATATTTGCAGTGACATGGGCTGGATGGACCTTCCCTTTTTTTCACTCCTCTCAGACTCTCAGTCCATGTCCATGATAACCTCGGCCGCAAAGTGGAGGATGCCAGCGCCTTCCCGGTAGGAACGAAGTGCCGGGAGAGCCAGGCAAAAGTAAGAGCATGTTGCGCGAATAAGAATGCTCATCACAAATGATTTACGACCAGGGGTATGAGTGTCCAAGCTCAGTCTGTACAAGTGCTCTCTCAATTTTAAGAGCGATCAACCCAACGGCGCTAATGAGAGTACAGCCCTTCCGGGCAGTATCCCGCCCGTTTCATCTTTAGCGTATCCTTGGTTTTTGACCGTGGGGTGTGAGATACTGTAGGTACCTAGTCAATGTGGAATGGGAATGGGAATGGGGGCAGTCTCGACTCGGTCTATTGTATGTCGCTACCTGAGACCTCGTCCGACGTAAAAATAAGTCAATTGTGCTGGTTGAATGCTGTATCGAAGGGACCAAGGCTTCAAAAGATACCCCTTCACCACCTTGGTCGCAGGACTCTGCGAGACTTCCCACTAACACGTACCAGATGAACTTGGGGCTGAAGACCACCTACTCCCACAGTAGCCCGAACATTGAGACTTATCGAGTCAGCTACCTAGGCAGGAATCACTTGCCGCCTTTCCTTGACTGAGTGCTTGTTGGGCAAAAGCTTCCTCCTTCGCAAGTGAACCCTTGAGTCGCACAGACTCATGTTCCTTGTACATCTCAGCTTCCGTGTTGCCGGTGTCAGAGTGAAGCACGGATCATTTGATCGGAACATCTGAGACCTTGTTGATATCGTGAAAATGGACCCATGCACTTGGATCCACATGCGCAATTGGAAGAAGTACTCTGTGTGATCACTACAGCCTTGTATGGGCCTGTTGGCTTGATGAATGTCTGATTTCCGCTCGACCGAGGATGACGACGTCAGCCATGGAGTGTGGAAGCAAAATTCAATTGCTCTGGCGGGGTAGCTTCCTCAAAGCGTAGCTGGAAACGCGCGGTGCCACCCCGGATTTGTGATGGTGGGGAGGATACGCTTCCCAATAATATCGCCAAACAGCACTGAAGAGAAGATTTTCCCTTTGTCGACTATAAAACATTCTGCGTGACCTGCAGTTTTACATGAACAGCTGATCCTTCCGGCTTGATCCCCATAAACGTGCGAGAACCACATATAGACCAGCGCTCAAGGACATCCCATGGATCCTAGGCTGTCACCCTTGTTTGAATGAAGAGAATAGAGCACGGAGATATGAGCATCAACAGCCAAAAGCCCCCGCCAAAAGCACTGTTCTTCGACGCAAGCCAAGACCTTCTTTTTTCTAGTCCCCAATCTAACCCTACTCAGGTCTTCGGCACCGTCGTCGACTGGCGTAAAACTGTAACCAAATACCTCGAAAGGCGGTCTTTCGAAACCCTCAATTCAGGCTCCTCTTCGGTCGCTACCGCAGTCCGAACTAAGTGCGCAGAAGTCCATTGGCCCACCTTCGCTCAGGAATGGCGCAGCTCCTACTATGACTTCACGCGCGACCAAGCCAAGCGCAAAGACAATGACCAAACCTTAGCATTCAAGACGGTGGACGATCATCATCTTGACTCCTTACGCGCGCTGCTCGACCAACATGGCATCTCCGGACTATGGAGGGAGGACCAGGTGATCCAAGTATCACGGATATGGCACTATCTTGAAGCCTGGCCGGACTCGTCCCGTGGACTCATGGCTCTGAAAGATCAAGGTTTCATCATCTGCACGCTGTCGAATGGCAATATCGAGCTGCTCACGGATATGGCTGTCCATGCCGATCTGCCTTGGACGCACCTTTTCAGCGCTGAGAAGTTCGGTGCTTACAAACCCCATCCTTCCGTTTACACTTCTGCGTGCAGAGAATTGGGGCTGGAGCCGGGCCAGTGCGCGATGGTGGCGGCACATTTGGCAGATCTAGAGGCGGCCAGGGAGTGCGGCCTGCAGACTATCTACATCGAGAGAGCGCAAGAAGAATCGTGGCCTCCGGAGAAAATGGACGGCGCCAAAAGCAAAGGGTGGGCAGACATGTGGGTGAGCATTGGTGATGATAGCAAGGGAGGTGGAATTCTGGAGGTTGCAAGAAACCTTGAGGGTGAGCAAAAGCTGTAAAATGCGATAAGTGCAATTTCTCTTCGTCTCCATGTAAATAATGGAGTCTTGTTCACGGAATCTGACATCTGATGATCTACAACTTCGCTCTCTCCTCTGTCGCTTTATGCAGATCAGCCCCCTTGAGCTGAAAATACTCCTTCACTTTTGCTCTCGCCACCTCCACTACCCCTGCATCTTCCACCGTCGCCGGCACCTGCACCTCCTTTTCAAATTCACCATGCACAGCATTCTCCACCAGCTCCCTCAACACTCTCCTCAATGTCTTCCCCGACCTCGTCTTTGGTATCATGCCTTTCCCTTGAATCATACCACCGAGTGCCGCTATAGCGCCAATCTGCTCACGGATTGATCTTTGGACTTCTTTGAACGGTTTGTCATCTGGAATCGCAGATTCGGGATGCTCCGCTGTAGAGAGCGTGACGAAAGCAAAGGGCAGATGTCCCTTCAACGCATCCGGAATACCCACCACGCCTACGCAGATCTCGGTATTAGCATTGCTTGATCGCGGCAGTGCCTGGAATTGCAAGACAGGTTTAAAGAACAAAAAGGATTTATTTGCACTTGAAACATGCAATCTCAGTACCAAACACGAAGGGTTATCTCCGAAACGTACGTACAGCATTCGGCGATATCTGGGTGAGACGCTATGGCTTGTTCAATGGAGCCGGTGCTGAAACGATGAGCGGCCACGTTGATGATGTCGTCTGACCGCGACATTACGTGCACGTAGCCGTCTTCGTCAAGCGTGCCAGAATCCCCCGTGTCGATCCATTTGCCTTCGAAACGTTTCATGTAGCCGTTGTAAAATCTTTCTTCGTCGTTGAAGAGCGTGGTGAAGCCTGTAGGAGCAAGTGGGACTGCCAGGACGATGTTTCCCATCTGTCCTTTTCCAACTTCTTTTCCTTCATCGTTGACTATCCTAACGTCAAACCCTGGCATGGGTTTCCCTGCTGATCCAGGCTTGATTGGCAACGCCCTGTGGACTTCTATACTAGTGAAGTCTTTTCCAGCAGCGACATTTAAAGCAAGCCCTGAAATTGGAGAGCCAGACTCTGAAGACCACCAATTATCGATGACTTGAGCCCCAGGCGCACAATATTTCTCGAGAAGCCCCTGGTACATGCGTACTATACTCGGTTCGCTCCTCTCACCGGCGAGGAACAGCCCTTTAAGCTGCTTCAAGCCTCCTCGCTGGCCCGCTTTCTCGAAAAACTTGTTCTCGGGATCGTCCCGCCTGATAGCTCTCAGAGCTGTAGGAGCTGTACTCAGCACATTAACTTTGTGCTCTTCGATTATCCTCCAGAATGTGCTGGCGTTTGGCGTGCCGATGGGTTTTCCCTCAAAGAGAATGCTAGTTGCTCCGGCAAGCAATGGTGCATACAGTATATATGAATGTCCCACCACCCACCCAATGTCTGAAGCGCAGAAAATTACATCCCCTGGACCATGGATTCCGAACAAGTACTTGATCGAAAGGTTCAAACCCACAGCATGTCCACCTGCTTCTCGGAGGACTCCTTTGGGTAAACCTGTTGTGCCACTTGTATAGATAATGTAGATTCCATCACTACTTTTGACGGGGACAGCCTCTGCTCTGATTCCTCTATCTCTTGCGCTTTTGACGAGAACCTGCCAGCTCCTTTCTCCTCTCTCTTTGATTACCGGATGCCATCTCAACTGCTCTCTTTGCCATACTATAATCTTCTCAGGTTTATACTTACTTTTATGCAAGGCTCCTTCGATGAATGGTTTATAATTCATGGGCCCTTTGGAACCCTCTATTCCACAAGAGGCGGTCATGATAGCTCGAGGTTTGGAAGCCTCGATCCTTTGTGCCAATGACGCAGGCGCAAAACCTCCAAATACGACAGTGTGAATAGCGCCCAGACGGGAGATTGCGAGTATGGCGAACAGTGCAGAAGGAATCATAGGCACTGTGAGGTATTAGCACGGATGGATGCCCACAGACAACTGGGATCCATACTGTACACAAGCACGACATCGCCCTTCCTCACGCCTTCTTCCCTCAACACGCCAGCAAGTGTTTCCACCTCCTGCAAAAGCTGGCTGTATGTATACTTCTCCTTGCTCCCAGTAACCGGCGAATCCCATATGATAGCCGTCGAACCCCCATTGCCATTCTTGACATGCCTATCTACGCAATTGTAGGATGTTGATATCTCTCCATCCGGAAACCAGGTGAAGCTGGAATGCGAGATGCCATTGGAGAGATTCTTTGTCGACCGCGCTAATGCCCTGGAAGGCTTCTTGTGCCAATGCAGCTGTTCAGCTTGATGTGCCCAGAAAGACTCCGGTTCTTGGATCGAATGGGCTTGGACTTCGTCTTGCGCGTGCGGGGGTTTTGGCGCCATTTGGATAAGGAGGCTCACTCGTTGGAAGCTTTGGGATGCCAATCCTCGAACATCAAATGGACTCCTGGGACACCTGTATGCCGCAGTATTCGAGCACCAAAAAAAGAGCAGTCATGATAGCTGCTCGTTGAAATCTAAATGATGATTTGATCGGACCAAAGGCGCTGCGGGCATCTTGCATCTTGCCCCGCGTCTTTGGCCCCTTATGTCCAAAGCGCTCATAATTGTTGACTAACTCGCAACCTTCGCAGCAATTGATGGTAAGGAATCGGCAAGCCAAGGAGTAGTAATGTCAATTAAGAAATTGTACAAGAAACCGGATCTCCGATGCCAACGGTGCGAAGAATGAGATATTTCTCTAGCGCCGCCAGCCTCATGGCAAGATTGACATTCTACACTTAGATCCACATTTTCTCTCCGTAAAGCTGATTTGATATTGATTGAAGTAATCGGTTTCAAGTATCTATTAAGTACCAATCTGCGGGTTTTGCCCTGAATGTTGCCAAATATCATCTACCATCTAGACATACGATGAAATAGTTTTGTACAAGATTGCTTTCCAGTCATTCTTTGCCAGTAGTATTGAGTATGATACGCCCTTCCGTAGCCTTCACACTCTTAATGATGCTCTATCATGGAAACCAGACCACAAATCGAGCATAGCATTTCGTTTGTCGATGTCTCCTTTATTAGTATCTATGCTTCCCATATTTGATACCACCTCACTTAACCTTTCTTCAAGACGCTAAATACATGTCATACTACGGATATGTCTTGATATTACGAAAAGCAAGAACTCAACCTTACTAGGCACCCACTACGCACCGTAATTGGTAGCTGAAATCCATGCCTCGCCTCGAGAAATGGCTGAACTGATTGCTTGTCGACATTTCCCCGTTTCTCCGTCTCAAGCAAGCTTTCTCGTTGGGCACGTTTGCTCCACGCCCGGCGTTCTTTTGTCATGCCGTAGTTGGCAAGGAGCCTCTGGTGTGAAATTCTTTAGGTCGAGTACAGCCAACGACCCTGAACCCCAGTAAAGGATGGTGAAATGATGAACGATTTGGTAGACAGAAGCAACGCTGGCGACCCATTACGAGCATGCGGCGTTGCGACATTCTGTCATTGGGAGGCGGTATCTGTGAGTCTGCCACGGGAGACGGCCGACTGCTATGGATGGTCACCATGACCATACACGAATGGAATCCTCATGCTTGACCGGGTGGGTGCTACACAAGGATTTTGTACCGCTTCAGAGTACGTTTGCACGGTACAACAAGGTCTTGCTTGTCAGGGTTCATGGAGCCCGAACGAGGCGATTGATCACGACATTCTATTAAACAGTTGCGGCTCAGAAGCAGATTGGTGGTGAATGGGTAAAGTCCTTATGCTTCTCCCATTCGTTGGTAAAACCCGACGACAGATTGAGAGATTTATCGCGGTGGGACTAAGGAGCCGACAAGCAGTCCCTAGCTTGCCGGTCTGAAATTTGAGATGTCATCCCAGCTGTGCCTTGCCGCTGGCGTGGGCTATTAACCCCTAAAATGCACCTTGCGATCCGTCCCAGCGGGATGCCGTATCATCTTGGATGGTTGTTATCTCTGCACATGAAATGGCTCAAGCCGTGTTAGTGCCTGTCAACCTAGTCAAAAGCAGGAAGCTGATGGGGTGAGAAATTATCATACCATGCTGTGTGCGCGGAAAGGGCCGTGTTCCTGGAGGAGCTGTTCTTGAGGTTGACTCAACTGCAATTCTTTCCCTTCAAGTGCGTACTACCCCAGGACTGCTGTCATGATTGCCTTTGCAGACGACTGGGTAGTCAATGTGAACGCGCACAATCCCGGCAAACACCCTTCTCCTTTAGTCGATCGCAAGACACGAGGATTGGAGCAAGCCCTCTCCAACATCAGAACGATCTGCGTAGTATCAAGCCACACTGGCACAGCAAAGTCCACCTTAGATGTCATTACAGCCCGGTCGAACAGTGTATGGGATTTGCGTGAGGCCGGCCGCGGTCCTTGACGCATACATAGCGGTGACCTTGCTCGAAAGATTGTTGATACTCCCCTCCGTGTTTGAAGTGGCAGAGATTGATATTAAGCAACCTTGCAGAGATGCGGGTGTCAGAAACAGGTAGCTGAGTGGATGCTATGGCACAAACGTTTGGGTCCCTTGAAGGTGCACTAGTAGTTGGCTTGGGAGACCCCGATCCAACAGTAGTTTGGTAAGAACGCGATGCTGCGTTAGGGGACGCCTCTTGAACTCCCCAATTCCGGTCCTCTATAACCGTATCAGTGATCTTTTCTTGAGAGCCCCGCTGATTGCAATTCTAGGATTGTCCAATCTATCAGACCAGGAGCATTAATAATTATTCCGCATCCCGTATGCTGTTGATCGTTTGATTCGCAGAGAGCGGAAGGTTCAAAGTGGTGTCCACGCGCCGTTGAGACCGCTGGATAAGAACCAAAGACACAGAGACACAGAGGCTGACCCAGATAATACTCTAATTGAAGATCCTTGAAGTGAAAATAAACATACACGTGCTGATCGCGTGGATGCGTCCAGGGATTGGGAATAGACGCTTTCAAGACAAGCCCTAGACTTGTCTAAAAAGCACAGGCCAGACCTTTAAAGCGACCTCTAAAGCTAAAGCATTTTGCTCTCTATCACCATCGTCCAAATTTCTCCCTCTTTCCTTTTATACCAACAAACAATATCATTGCTACCTTCATCTCTGCTCCGTCCCTATTTGCTATCTACTGCATTTCCTTGTACATCTCATATAGCCGCCTTGCCCCCGAACGGACCCCCCTTCCCCCCCCCCATCTTACAGGCTTGCATTGTGACACAAAGCTCTGGACTGAACCGGGCCAGTCTGCTCCAAGCACACATTCGGAGCACGCAAGATTACTGGACCCACCGTTCAACTGCATACCCAATATTGAACGCCCATTGCTTCGATACTCCTCGTGAGTGCTCAGGATAAGTTCGCAAGAATTACTGCTTTGGGGCCTGCACCACCACATACCGCCGGCGCAATTGTTCAATGACAGGCCCTCTGCTCGGTATAAGAGTCTAACACATCGCCACAGTCTTTTCTGGTCATAGAGCACTGTGATCCAAGCCGCACTACAACGAAAATCAATTGCAATTCGAATTGATTACTCTTCCACACAGCTAGTGTGCCTCTCAGCCTTAAACCCCCAGAATATCTTTGAGTCATTTCCCACGTGATCAATTGGCTTCCAGTACGCAGGCCTCGCTACTGCACCGCAGCCAAGATGGCGGGGAAGATGACGTTGTACAAGTTGGTGGTACTTGGAGACGGTGGGGTCGGCAAGACTGCTTTGACCATACAAGTACAAGAGTACCCTCTCAACCGCGCGAATCACAGCTGACGGATTTGCAGCTGTGCCTCAATCACTTTGTTGAGACTTACGATCCCACAATCGAAGATTCGTACAGAAAGCAGGTCGTCATCGATTCACAGTCATGCATGCTAGAAGTGCTTGACACTGCTGGTCAAGAAGAGTACACAGCCCTACGTGATCAATGGATCAGGGACGGCGAAGGCTTCGTTCTGGTCTACAGCATCACGTCTCGATCATCCTTTACACGAATACGGAGATTTCATAGTCAAATACAAAGAGTGAAGGAGTCGTCGAACGCTGGCTCCCCTACACCTGCAGGCTATCTTTCATCACCAGTTTCTCATAGCATGATAATGGGCGGAGGCCAGGCACCTGTGATGCTGGTCGGCAACAAGAGCGACAGAGTGACAGAACGTGAGGTGTCTACGCAAGAGGGCAGTGCCTTAGCGAAAGAAATGGGCTGCGACTTCGTGGAAGCATCAGCAAAGAACTGCATCCATGTGGAGAAGGCATTCTATGAGGTTGTTCGAGCACTAAGGAAACAACGGCATGATACGCAGATCACGAGGACGGGAACAAATCCTGGCAGAAGCGGTGGCCCCATTGGTATGTCCGATTTACGGGATGGGAGGAAAAGGGGACCAAAGGAGTCGAAGAGCGGACACAAAACCCGATGCACGATATTATGATCACGACTCGCTTGCATTCCGGAGCATGCTCAACATGACACCGCAGATCCGGCCTCGGCTACAGTGTCATTGGCTGCCGCTTCATCAGCTGATTGGTTTGACGATCCCCCACTGGCATCAGTACAATTCCAGCACTATAGCATCATTGCATCATAACGTAGCATTTTCTTACCTCTCGATGTACAGACACTTCACATGAAACTGCATCAGCACTTCGTGCCCCGGGCTTGAAGGACAATATAGATGCAGCATCACATCTTCATGACCACTACCCAAACACACATTGATACTGAAGCATTCGGACACCAGCGACTCTCAAAGGAGCCTCAAGAAAAAGGCTGCATTTAGACACCAAAGGCGCACTCGGAGTACTCCCTACAGGATAGATATGGGCAGCCAAACGGACAAATCTGGGGTGGCATTATTTATTTCCAATCATGCGGCAAGAAAAGCTGAGGATATGGGGACAGGATACCGACGAGATACCCAGGGCCATCAAAGAGGCAGTTTAGAAATTTCACAATTACTGATGTTCAATGCTTTGACGTGCAGACCATGCAAACTCTCTAATCTGTTTGTATCCAAATGAGCCGCTGCTACTCGTTCTCTGCCATCGCATTTATATTGCTGTCACTGCTATCTAGAGTACCTAGACCCCGGTTTGTACCGCATTATCCCCTGCTTGCATTTCTCATCTTAAACAGATGTCAGCATCAAGCCATGAGAGTTATCTTCGGCGAGCTTCCATACGTCCAGGCACAGGATTAGACCGAGAGCAGCAGATGGGTGAGGCTTTTCAGATCATCAGAACTCCATCTATAACCCACACGTCTTATAACTTATAGAATATCTCTATCTCTATCTCTATCTCTTCTAGTAGATCCGTCACTATTCGACGCCGCAAGCCAGCTAATATTACAATTCTCCTGATCTTACAATTCGC